CGTCCGACCAACGTGACAGTGAGACCTACAGTTGTTGCTCTCCGAGCCAGGGGGGGGGCGGGGGAGCCCTCTCACAGACGCGTGCCGGAGACGTGGCCTTCTTCGGCCCGCGGCCCGCACGAATCCGCTCCCCGCCACCTCATCCCCGGCGGGCGATAAATTACCTGCACGCTTGTATTCGTTTGAAGAGGGGCGAGGGGGGGGGGGGGGGCGAACGGCACGCAGGTAAACTTGCCCGAGTGGACAAAAAAACAAGCTTAAGAAAGGTGGACTTCTTGGGCCCCAAGAAGGCCCCCCCTTTGGGGCCCGAAAGGACCCCTTTTAGGGGCCCTGAGGAGGGCAAACGTTTTGCAGCCCTCGCTGCCCCCCCCGCCCCCCGCCCCCCGTTTAGAAAGTGTTTGTTGTACCCTCTGGGCTATAACGCGCGTGATGCCTCCCCCCCCCTCCGCTCCCCCCCCATACCGCAACGCTTCCCCCACCACAGTGCGCCCCTGGCACTGCCGCAATGCGTCTGGCACCGCTGTCTGCGGGGGGGGGGCGCTGAGTGATGTCCCCGCTCGCCCCCCCCCCCCTCCCACCCCCCTACGCCCAGTGTGGCCGCACATGACAAGATGCGCTCGTGCCGCCCCCTCCTCACGCGACGCCCGCAGCGCTCTCCGAGCCAGGGGGGGGGAGACCGCAGGGAGCCTCCGAGGGCCTGTTCTTTTCAGACCCCGGCAAATTTAATTCCACGGACGGGGGGGGGGCTGAGCCTGAGGCAAGCCGCACACGACTTGCACGTGCGGAAATCACACAAGTCGAGAGGCACTTGCACGCTAACATTCGCCTGACGAGGGACGAGAGGGGGACGCCATGCAAATAGACTTGCCTGAGCTTTTAAAAACAGCTCTGAGGGCAGGCTGGTCCTCCCACCCCCAGAACGCCCGCTGTGGCCGCGCATTACAAGATGCGCTCGTGCCGCCCCCTCCTCACGCGACGCCTGCAGCGCTCCCCGAGCCAGGGGGGGAGGGGAGGCACCACGGTCTGGGGGGGGGGGGCGCTGAGTTGTGCCCCCGCTCGCCCCCCCCCCCCCTACCCCTCCCACCCCCAGAACGCCCGCTTTGGCCGCGCATTGCAAGATGCGCTCGTGCCGCCCTCCCCCCCCACCCAGCTCGGCCCGCGGCGCCCGCGCGGGGCTCTCCGCTCCCAACCGCCGCGGCCCGTGGGGGCAGCTCCTCGCCCCGGGTGCCGCTCTTCGACGGTGCCCCGGCGGAGCACCGCCGAGCGGAGGCAACTGCCGCGGGAAGTTCTTCGTCGGAGGGACGGGGTAGAATTGAGCCCCATTGGGGGGCTGCTGCGCCGCATGAGGCCGAAGATTCGGCGGGATCGAATGGGATTAAGCGGGATGAAACGGGATAGGCCGGACTTCGGACCATGGCAAAGTCAGAATCTGGCCTCCCAGGAGTTGCATCCGAACTTCTTCACATCCACCGGCTGGGGCACCGAGGTCCTGGGACCCCACGAGGCGCTGGCTCGGATTGTATATTTAGGCCCCCTGGGGTCCCAAATGTGTATCCATGTCCACCGCCTCTCTGGGTCTGAGATAATCGATTCTCCAGGGCGGTGGATTTAGATGAGCCCCAGGCTCGCAAAAGAAAAGGCCCCTGGGAGCGGAGAAAGGAAAAGCGTGCAGGGACAGAAATTCCCACCGACCAGCCCTGAGGCGCCCCTCCCCTGTGATGAAAAGCGGAATCGCACTACGACGCGAACGTGATGTAGACGTGAACAAGTGTGATGATGCTGTTTCTGTTTCGTCGCCTTCGCAATCAAGCACCCCAACGTTGTGCGCCGGCCTGTGCGTGTATTCTTGTCTGCAGCTCTGCGTGCCCGGCTGGAGCACCGGCCTAAGAAGCATATGACTACGAAAAACGGCTCCTGGACAACACGATTGGGCCATTGATACCGGTACCGCTACCGATGCCAAAAGGTACCGATACCGCTACTCCCCGGACCTCTCCCAGGGTGCATTGTGACCAGGATTTCGAAGCGAATCCAGCGGTGGCGACAAAGGCTTCCCAGGAGGCCCCCAAAAGGGGAAAACGGGCAGGGGGTGTAGAGGTATGGGTACCTTTTCCTCCTCGGACCCCCGCCCCCTCCGAGGCGCTCGAACACCTCCTCGAACCAGAGGGCGGACTCGTCCCGCACGCCGGGGTCCCCGGCCTCGAGCACCGTCCGGAAGGCGAAGGCCTCTCCTGGCAGCAACTGGGCCGCCCCCTCCCCAGCGGCGGGGCGGCGGCCTCCCCGCGTCGAGCTCCAGTGCCTCGCCTCGCGTGGCTCTCCTCCGCCCTGCCCCCTGTGTCTGCCTCCCCCTCCTCCCACGCCACTCCGCCCTGCGCCTCGCCCTCCTCCTCCCCCCCTTCTCGCCCTCCTCGCCCTCGAACTCGTCATGCGCTGCGCCCTCCTCGCCCTCACCATCGTGCTAAGTTCCTCATCGACACGCTTCTCTTTTTTGCCCTGTCATCGTCCACACGCTCCCGTCCTCCATGACTTCCTCCTCCCTTTCTTCGTCCGTTTGTCATATTCCTCCTCGTGCTCGCCCGCATTGTCCTCTTCGCCGCCATCTCACGTTGTTGTTTTTGTTGTGATCTCTCTCGATATATCTATATTTATATATAAATATACGCACGTGTATTCATTATGTGTATGTATGTATGTATGTATGTATGTACGTACGTATGCATGCATGCATGCATGTATGTGTGTATGTGTGTGTGTTTGTATGTGTGTATGTTTGTATGTGTGTATGTATATGTGTGTATGTATGTATGCATGTATGTTTGTATGTACGTATGCGTGGATAGTGTGTATATATATGCATGTGTGTATGTATGTATGCATGTTTGTTGGTATGATTGCATCTGTGTATACGTATATTTACATGCACGTTCCATGCATGTATATATGTATGCATGCATGTATGCATGTATGCGTGTATGCATGTATGCATGTATACCGGCATGCGTGTATGCATGTCTGCAGGTACGTGTGTAAGTATGTATGTACGTATGTATAGTCGTATGTGTGTATGCCCATAGGTCTGCAAAAATGTATCCATGTCTGAAGTTGTGGATGCACGCATGTATGTATAAATGTATGCATGCATGTAGGGGTGTATGTATGTAAGTGTGCATGTATGGGTGCATGTATAATCTGTATGTGTGCATACATGTATGTATGTATGCATGTATGCATGCATGCATGTATGCATGTGTACGTATGTATGCCTGTATAGGTGCATGTAGGTGCGCATGTATGTATGTATGTATGTATGTATGCTTGTGTACGTGTGTCACAGTGTATATATGCATGTGTGCATGCATGCATGCATGCATGTATGTGTGTATAGGTAGGTAGGTATGTATATATGCATGCGTTCATGGATGTATGGTTGTATGCATACATGCATGTACGCATGTATAGGTGTAAATAAGTATGTAAATATGTAATTATGTAACTGTGTGAGTATGTAAGTGTATATGAACGTAAGTATGTATGCATGAATGTGTATGCATGTGTGTATGCATGCATGTATGTATGCATGCACGTATGCGGCGACGAGGCGGCGATGTGGCGGCGACGGCGGCCACATAGCCGCCAGGCCGGGACACCGGCCCAGCTCTTTAAACAAGAAAGAAGAGCCCCTAAGTGCAAGCACTGGTTGGAGGAAATATGTATGTCCATATACACATATATGTAAACATCTATATATACAGATTAAACCAGCCTCGGTGATGGACATGAGCAGTGCGGACAGCTGCGCATTCTGTCTCCATCCAGCTGGAGAAATCCATCGAAGTGTGACGTTTCACCCGCCCCCTTGCTCGCCTGTCTGTCTCCTCGGCAGGGTGAGCGTTGATGCTCGCCCCTCGTTTGGCGGGCCGCCTCCCAACCTGGTCTGCGACACCTCGACGGGGTGGGAGGTGACAGGCAGGTGCAGTTCGGTCGTCAGGAGGAAGTGCTCGGGGGTGCCTATCAAGACCCTGATGATCGACGAGGCGGCGCAGTGATGGCTGCTTAAGTGTGTGAGGATCTCTGAGCAGCGGATCTCGTGCATCATCTCGAATAGCGGGCAGCGGGCGCCAGACAGTTTCCGCAGGCTGGCAGGTGCGGCTAGTATGGAGCCTGGCCTCCTCAGGACGTGGGTGGTCGTAGCTCAAGACGAGGTCGCAGGACAGATCAGGAAAAGGACAAGGAACCCGAAGAGAACGAGGATGAGAAGGAGGAGCTCGAGGAGGAGGAGGAGGACGAGAAGGACGAGGAGAAGGACGAGGAGAAATTGGAGGAGGAGGAGGAGGAAGAGGAGGAGGACGAGGAGGAGGACGAGGAGGAGGTCAAGGAGGAGGAGGAGGAGGACGAGAAGGACGAGGAGAAGGACGAGGAAGAGGAGGAAGAGGAGGAGGAGAAGGAGGATGGGGGAGGAGCGAAAGGAGGGGAAGGAGGAGGAGGAGGAGGAGGAGGAGGAGGGCCAGAAGGACGCGAAGAAGGACGAGGAGAGGAGGAGGAGGAGGAGGAGGAGGAGGAGGAGAGGGGAAGGAGGGGGAAGAGGTCGAGAAGAAGGACGAGGATAAGGACGAGGAGGAGGGCGGGGATGAGGAGCAAGGGAAGGATTAGGACGAGGGGGAGCGAGCGCGACTGGGGAGAACGACAGAGGGAGAGGATCCCCACAACTTGCGAATGGGAATGCTAGGGGGGGGGGGGGGGGGGCCAATGCGGCCGTCGTCACTTATCCAACCCCCCACATCCTGGAGGGAAAGAAGGGAGAATGGAAGAGAAGTATCCACTCGACCGCCCTCCCTATCTGTGAAGTTTGTGAGGCCGAGATCTGCCTGTGCTTATTGCGCAGACTCCCTGCCCCTCGCAGCGCGTTTGAGGTGAGGAGACAAGCCCTCTCGATGAGCGATGGAGGTCCGGGTGGGAGTTGGAGACTTACACCAGCGTGAGAATCGACCCTCTCCAATATCCCGCCCTTTCTCCATCTCTCGCATCCTCCGTTGCTGCCATGCCAAAACGATAGCTGACAATGCATGGAGCGCCCCTGGGGGGCCCAGCGGCGAGGGTGGATTGAACCTGCTCGCGCAGCAAAAACAAGCGCGCCGTAGTGACAAATACCAGTCCCCCGCAGTTGACGATCAGATTGTGGATAGGGTCGCGGATGGATCTTCGGCGGGTCGGCGGGCGAGTCGCGCAGTGGGTCGCGGGTGGGCTGGGGCGGGTCGCGGGGCGGGGCGCAGGGCGGGTCGCGGGGCGGGTCGCGGGTGGGGTTCCGGGCAAGTCGCAGGTAGGTCGCGGGGGCAGGTCGGAAGTCGATCGTCGGGCAGGTCGCGGGTGGGTCCTCGCAGGGCGGCTAACAAGAGCATGAACCCGCACTGTGGAACCGAAGTTCAGCCACGCACTCACGGACAATGTACGACCGTTCGGGCCCATCACTCTGATTCTCCAGAAACATCCATGTGTCGTCCCTTTCTGCCTCGTTCCGGTTGCGGACGAAGCCAATGCGCATTACTCATGGTTCCGTAGAATGTACACCATGCTGCACGGCTGCGATGCCACAGCGAGGGCATGAGCGTCTCGTTGCCACTTGACACGAGACTGAGAGGAAGGCGCCACCACTGCATGCATGCAAAAAACGGGGGGGGGCACTGCGCCTTCAAACAAAAAACAGGCTGGGCGAACAAGAGAGGCGCGACCATTACGTCCTAATGAAAGCCGGCAGGGACACCTCGGCTTAGCTCAGGACCGGGACAGGCCTGCGTCAGGCTGTGGCACGATACTCGCTGCTGCGCCTTTCGACGACCCCCGAGACCAGGACCTAGCGGTAGTAGCCGGGCCCACCTGCCATGTACGAGGGCGTCTGCATGCCGGAGTAGCCGCCAGCCTGCGGAGGTGACAACTGTCTCCTGCGCCTGCGTTCCCACGCTCTGCCCTCCTATCCAGGAAGAGAGAATGAGGAGAAGTAGGGGCGATTAGGAGGACGGGGGAGTGAGGACACGGGGAGGGTGATGAAACTGGCGGAGATCAATAATGAAAGTTGAAGGAATGAGAGGAGGACCAGGAGGATTGCTGTGTATTGCTGATGCCCTTGAGGGCAGGCATGACCCCTGATGAAACGGGTGGGGCGCACGGGCTTTCCCATGCTTGGAGGCAATGCTTGTGAAGGTTGGGAGGGCTAACCGTCTGGTTCCAGATCCTGTTGCCAGAACCGTCGTTGGCACGCGGTATTGGTGGATGGCAACGTGCATTATGCATACATTGTGGCAACCACCCTCTGTCAAATGACCGCACGACCACCTGCATTGCCGCCAAACTGTGACCAAAAAGGTCAGTGCCTCAGCGGGCGAGAACACAAGACCGCCGGCATTGCCGCTGGTGCATCGCCGCATGAGGGGGTAAATGCCCCGGCATGAGGGGTCAGCGCGCATAGGGCCCAGCATGGGGAGACGACGCACGAAGCGCCCAAATCCTGGCATAAAGGACCATCGATGAAGGCGCCACAACCAGTACCCAAACATGAGGGGTCAACACATGTCCGGAACAGCCCCGGTATGATGATTCCACTAGCGGGGGGCCGAAGCCCCAGCAGGAGGGTCCGCGCACGAGGGGTCCAATCTCCGGCAGGAGCGGTCCCACGCATGAGAGGTCCAGCCCCCCTGAGGGGTCGAAGCGTGAGGGGCAAACGCCCTGGCATGAGGGCGGTGGGACAAGGAGTGGGTGGAGCCCCAGCAGAGAGGGTGAGCGCATCGCCAACAGTCACTATAACGGTGTCAACCCTGCTGGAGACGATGGCGATGACTCACGTGGCTGTGTGTAAACAAGGCTTTTACAGACCATCGAGGATAGGACGAGGGATGATATACGAGGATCGGACGAGGAGCTCACGAGGTGAGGCCGAGGCGTTGCCGAGGCCGAGGGGACAGAGCCCCCGCTCGGGAGATCGACGCACGAGGGGCCCAAGCCTCAGCGGGATGGGGGCAGGACAGGAGGGACCGAGGCCCCAGCACGAGGGGTCAAAGACGCGTGACATCTCGAGGCCGCCCCGGCACGAGGGGTCAGCGCCCAGGGGGGGCACAGCCCAAGCCAGGGGCCAAGCCCGAGCAGCAGGAGTCAAATCGTGGGGGCCAAAGCCCCAGCAGGAGGAGTCGACGCCCGAGGAAGCTCCAGGTCCATAGCGGGCCAACGCGTGGGGCCATAGCCCCAGCGGGAGGGGTCAAGTCAGCACGTGGGGGGGGGGGGGGCACAGCACCAGCACGAGGGGCTGACGCATGAGCAACGCCAAAACGCGTCGCCATTGCCGGCCTTTCACGCAAGCGCAGAACCCAGCGTTGTAGCTGAAGACGTCGAGCTCCACGAGCGCGGCCAACATCGCGCTGAAAAGCCCTAGAGCCTGCTGTAACTGCGCGCTCTTCTTGCACGCGCTGATCCCCGCGCTGTAGTTGATGACGTCGGGCTGCACATTTGCCTCCCACATCTTGCTGGGCAGCCCTAAAGCCCGCTACCACTGCTCGCCTTTTCTCGCACGCCCTGGTTCCTCGTTGGGCTCTACCTTCGCATCCCACATCTCGCTGAGAACCGTCCACGCCTGTTGACAGTGCTTGCCCTTTCTGGATGCGCTGGAATCCACTATTTAATGGCGGTGACTTCATGTTACGCGTAGCAGACATGCTTCGCGAAACAGTTGCAGCACTGGCGTGTACTCCCACGCTTGCCGATGGCTGCTCCGAAGGGAGAAATGGTTTGCCGAGATCCTCGCGTCGCGGTATGTTCAGCATCAAAGACGACTTACAGCATAATGACTTAAGCAACATTGGCGATTGGAGCCAAAAATGGCTACGGAGGAGGACCAAGAGGAGGATCGGCAGGAGGATGAGAAGGCGATGGAGCAAGAGAAGCAGCAGGAGGGGAGAGGGAGAAGGAGAGGGATGTCGGCAGGAGCAAGAGGAGGAGGGTACAGGAAGATGACGTGGGGAACCATCCTCGGACAGGGCTCTTCGGTTCTTCGCCCCCCCGAAAATCGGCGGATGATCCGCGGGGGCCCACGAAGCAGAATCTGTGATGCCAAACCCTGCGGACGAAAAAACACCAGCACACAAACAGGGCACGACGCCACAAGCAGGAGCCGTCGGCGTCAGCATCGAGCCAAGAAGCCGGATCGAAGCAGAACGTGCGTCGAGTCGGGCTGCACGGGGCCAGGACCGAAGCGGATCGGCAGCGCCGGGATGCACAGCAGCGCCGTGCGTGCATCCTGGCCGCAGCGGACCGTCGCAGCGTCGGAGTGTCTCGGGCCAGACGACGGGGGGACACAGCGAGGCGTCGGCGAAGCAGCTCACGAGGCTGGCTTCATCTGGCGCCTCCAAGCGCTGGAGGCGCCAGCGTACCGAGGAGAGCACCCGACGGCGGGTCCGAAGCCGGCGTGCACGCTGCAGATTTCGTACCTCCCCTCTGATTCCCCCCTCCCTGCGGGCAGCACCTACAGGCGCTATCCACGGGGCTTCTCTGGCTGCGAAGGCCCAGAGGGCCTATAGGCCGGAGGCGCCCGCAGAAGGGGGCGCGACACCGCGGATATACGCTGTACGGCTACACGTCCCGCGCGGCGCAGCCGCGAGGCAACGCCCGGCATCCGCGCGGTCGCAGCCTAGTGCCCCGGCCACGAGGCCGCGGGTACGGACATAGAGGAACGACCTCTATACACCGACGCTTTTTCCGGCCTTGCACTGACATTTGCAACCAGATCCTGGTGTATGCGGGATCCTGGGGTACACGTTTTCCGTTGTTCCCCGAGGAAGTGGGAAACAAATATACACCACATCACCCCAACATCGTCCCGGACCCTCCAAAAGTCCAGGGATGGGAAAGCAGCCTGCCACTGGTAATGTATACATGGGCATGGATAAAATGTGGGTTTCTGTTTTTTGCATATTTCCAAGGACGTCTCAAGCGAAACGCTCTTTTTCCAATTGTTCGGAGCCCCCTTCTCTTGTTTGGAACCGCTATGGTCAAGAAAGCTATTTTGGAACCATATTCTACTGTTTCTAACCGAGTTCGAACCGTCAAGGCAGCAATGTGTGTGCAGATGTCCCACGCGGTTTGCCGTTTTCGAACCGCCATCCTTTTGTTTCGAACTGGGTCAGACGCCGTATTTTGAGGGAAGTCCAACGCGAAACGCTAATGTTGCTTTTGCTTCGAACCGGATTCGATTGTTTCGAACCGAGTTCGAACCGTCAAGACAGCAATTGTGTGAGGATGTCCCACGCGGTTTGCTGTTTTCGAACCACCATCCCGTTTGGGGTAATACATTTTCATTAAAGTACCAAGCCCTTATTAATGTACCAGACCCTCGGTTGTCCTCCGCCCCGAAAGCGAGGCACCTCCCCCGTAACAGTGTACCAGACTCCACGTCCCCAACGGGGCGACTAGCGACGTGTGCTCGCACTGCGGACGCAGGACGCACTTTTGCCGACCCATCCACATGCGGCAATCTTTGATCACGGCACAGCAGGCTCCAATGCTCGATCTGCTTTTCACCCGCAAGGGTCGGGCTGGCCCGGCCAGCCCGATCCTCGTGGGCGAAAATCAAGGGCGCGCAAACATGGATTAGCGATCCATGGATTTGGCGCGCGGTCGCCAAGTCCGTCGATCGGGGGAGGTGCCCTCCCCAGAATGCGGCCCGTGCCGCCTCGTTCGGCGGCAGAAATCCGCGATTTCCCATGGAAACGGGACCCGTCGCTAATCCACGCCCCCTTCACCTACGCTTGCGGTCGCCTGAAAGTAGGAGGAGCCTGAGACATCGCGTGGCGCCGAGCCCGAACCGAAGGCGGGCCCTGCCGGAAGTCGGGGGGGGGGGGAGGCGGCCGTCCCCGCCGGAAGGGCGCGCGCCTGCACGGGCGGCCCCACCACGCCCGCGGGCCCCAGCATGGACATGCCCGCGTACCCAGACGCCAGCCCTGGCCGAGATCGGGCGGGTGGTCACGGGGGGGGGGGCCCACGGGGGAGGCGAAGAAGGGGGCTCCCCGAAGGGGCCCCGTCTGGAGCTCGCAGGAGCTCAAGAGGGCCCCTTCAGGGCCTCTTCTTTCCCCACCCCTCATGATTGAGGCCACCCCGCCATCCTACCAATCCCGGCGCCCGCCCCTGCGCCTCCTCCGCCCGCCCACCCCCGCCTCTGCTCGCCCGCCCCTGCCCGCCCGCCCCTGACCCCGCCCCCCACCCTCCGCCCGGTCCACTGCATATCCAAGAAATCCGCGCGGATGTTTGCGACGATGCTTCTTCTTCTTCTTCTTCTTCTTCTTCGATGCCCCTGCCCCTGCCCGTCCTCCGCCCGCCCCTGCTCCTGCTGCCCTCCCGGTGCCGGGCTGCATTCTTCTCGAACCAGCGCAAGAGGAGCCAGGCGGCGGAGAGCAGAGAAACGACACGGCACGACGACGGCCAACGTTGGACGACACACGAACGACACAGGGGCGGGGAGGGCGGGGGAGGGAGGGGAGAGGGTGAGGGGGGGGGGGGAGGGGGGGGGGGGGGGGGGGAGGGGGGGGGGGGAGGGGGGGAGAAGGGGGGGAGGATGGGGGAGGGCGGAGGAGGCGGCGCGGACGACACACGAACGGTCTCCGCACCCAGTCTTTCCCTACTCATTCCGATCGCACCAAGCTGCCGCCTCGCTTTCGCCCCCCAGGGTCCCGCGCCCAGGCTGGGTTCCAGCCGGCAGCAGCAGCGCACCTCCACGCCCTGCACGGAGTCGACCCAGCCGGCAGCAGCAGCGCACCTCCACGCCCTGCACGGAGTCGACCTGGCGTGCCTCCTGCGAGGCAGCGCAGGGCGCGCAGCAGGCCCACACGATGAAGTCTGGAGGCCAGGATTTATTTTCTCTCGCCCAGAGAATAGCTGGATTGCCAAACGTTTGTATCGCTCTGCACGTTGCGTGGGGTATCTCGGAGTCTACACGCCAGCACTCACACAGCAAGAACGTCACGGACAAACTCCCAAATGGAACGCAATACGAACTACGCATTCGACTTCTGAGCTGCTCTGGGCCATCTTCTGCTGCTTCTCCTTCCCGACTCCCACCCAGACATCGAACGCCCTGGCAAACATCAAACGATGCTTCCAAACATGTTGGCATCGGGGCGCCGCTTTCACACAAGGGGAGCGTGACCAGAACTGCTCAGGACAAACCGACGGCCCTGGGGAACGAGCTGGGGGCACCGTGCTGACCAACACGAGACATCGGATGTCAGGAAATATTGATTCGTTCTCTTTTTCTTCCCACCAGGCAACCGCAAATGTCATCCCTGCACGTGCAGGTCAGACATCTGAGACAACGCCTGGGGCCTGGGACCGTGCGGCGCCGATTTGGGGAGCCCTTGGGGCCGACGTGGCCTCCGATGCCACACAAAACGCGAGCATCCTGGAAATGTAAGTTCTTCCTTTGGATCTGTTCGTTTGTTGCACCCGGGAGCCTTCCCAGCGGCCTCCTGGACCGTCTTCAAGGAGACCTGGTTGGCCTTTTTTGGGACCCTCTTGGGGCCCAGCTCGGCCGTTCCGGGGCCCTGTTCGCCCGTGATGGAGACCTGAACCCGTCTTGGGGCCCTCTGGGGGGCCTCTGGGAGCCCTCTCCGACCATGTGGGGATCCTCTGGTGGCCCCCTCGGGGTTCCTGGGTGCTCTCTTGGGCCGTGTTGGGGCTCTCTTGTGCTGCTCGAAATTTTCTTCAGGCCGTCCGGGGGCCCTCTTGGGGGCCTTTTGGGTCGCCTGGGGTTCATTTTGGGAGCCTCTGGGGCCGTCGCGGCCGCTGGTAGGATTCAAAAGCAAGTATCCAAGAAAAAATATCCCGGCAAAGCAACCTAACAGCGATGTGTAGGAGCATATCTGGAAGCATTCTCCTTAAGATTCAGATGAGAATCCAGTTGTAGAATTCTGCTGTTCTCGCAGTCGTAGTCGCATTCGCGATGACAGTCGCAGTGGCAACGGCAGTCGCAGTCACAGCCTCAGCCTCAGCCTGCCTCAGCCTCAGCCTCAGCCTGCCTCAGCCTCAGCCTGCCTCAGCCTCAGCCTCAGCCTGCTTCAGCCTCAGCATCAGTCTGCCTTCAGCCTCGGCCTCAGCCTCAGCCTGCCTCAGCCTCAGCCTGCATCAGCCTCAGCCTCAGCCTGCCTCAGCATCAGCCTGCCTCAGCTCAGCCTCAGCCTGCAGCCTCAGCCTCAGCCTCAGCCTCAGTCAGCCTCAGCCTCAGCCTGCCTCGCCTCAGCCTCAGCCTCAGCCTCAGCCTCAGCCTCAGCCTCAGCCTTCAGCCTCAGCCTCAGCCTCAGCCTGCCTCAGCCTCAGCCTCGGCCTCAGCCTGCCTCAGCCAGCCTCAGCCTCAGCCTCAGCCTGCCTCAGCCTCAGCCTCAGCCTGCTTCAGCCTCAGCCTCAGTCTGCCTTCAGCCTCGGCCTCAGCCTCAGCCTGCCTCAGCCTCAGCCTGCATCAGCCTCAGCCTCAGCCTCAGCCTGCCTCAGCATCAGCCTGCCTCAGCCTCAGCCTCAGCCTGCCTCAGCCTCAGCCTGCAGCAGCCTCTGCCTTCAGCCTCAGCCTCAGCCTCAGCCTGCAGCCTCAGCCTCAGCCTCAGCCTGCCTCAGCCTGCAGCCTCAGCCTGCCTCAGCCTCAGCCTGCAGCCTCAGCCTCAGCCTTCAGCCTCGGCCTCAGCCTCAGCCTGCCTCAGCCTCAGCCTGCATCAGCCTCAGCCTCAGCCTCAGCCTGCCTCAGCATCAGCCTGCCTCAGCCTCAGCCTCAGCCTCAGCCTGCCTCAGCCTCAGCCAGCCTGCTTCAGCCTCAGCCTCAGTCTGCCTTCAGCCTCGGCCTCAGCCTCAGCCTGCCTCAGCCTCAGCCTGCATCAGCCTCAGCCTCAGCCTCAGCCTGCCTCAGCATCAGCCTGCCTCAGCCTCAGCCTCAGCCTGCCTCAGCCTCAGCCTCAGCCTGCTTCAGCCTCAGCCTCAGGCTGCCTTCAGCCTCGGCCTCAGCCTCAGCCTGCCTCAGCCTCAGCCTGCATCAGCCTCAGCCTCAGCCTCAGCCTGCCTCAGCCTCAGCCTGCCTCAGCCTCAGCTCAGCCTGCCTTCAGCCTGGCCTCATCAGCCTGCCTCAGCCTCAGCCTGCATCAGCCTCAGCCTCAGCCTCAGCCTGCCTCAGCCTCAGCCTGCCTCAGCCTCAGCCTCAGCCTGCCTGCAGCTCAGCCTCAGTCTGCAGCCTCGGCCTCAGCCTCAGCCTGCCTCAGCCTCAGCCTGCAGCCTCAGCCTCAGTCTGCCGTCAGCCGGCCTCGGCCTCAGCCTGCCTCAGCCTTAGCCTGCATCAGCCTCAGCCTCAGCCTCAGCCTGC